GGGGGGCGGAACCGGGGGGCGGGGCCATCTGCGGGGGCGGGGCGGAGCAGCGAGAGGCCCCTCCCCTCTGGCTTTGGCTCCCTCCTGCAGCAGCTACACTGAGATGGAGGGCGGAGGCGGACCCAGCTCAATGCCTGCGAAGGTGAAGACAGCCCAGTAGGCTACCATGCTGCCAGCTTGGTAGCGAAGCCTGCCGCTCCTCCTCCTCGCCCCCTCCCTCCCTCCCTCCGCCCTCCCTCCTCAGGCTCCACCACGCGGGGATGCCAAGGGCGAGGGACACGAGGGAAAAATGATCCAAAAAAATTTATGCCGGGGTACAAGACGACTCCCCATTTTTGAGATGATTTTTCAGACTTAGAAAGTCGTCTTGTACCCCGGAATATACGGTACACATAGGAATCTTTCTCAACTGCTCTTGAGAACGAGGAACCTAGACAAACTTAAGTACAGTTCAGAGTCCAACACAAACTACTACACCTTGCTAATGTATATTCTGGTATTTTCGGACTTAAAACTTTATTAACATTAAATACTAAAGTCAGGATCATTCACACCACATTTTCAGTTTTTCTGTGTGTGGATGTAAAAGTTGAACAATAAAGAAGGCTGACAGAAAGAAAATCAAATTTTAAATGAAGCACTTGAAAAGAGGTTTGTGGATACCATAGGTTGCTAGAAATGTGCCTAAGAGCAAATCAATTTGGATTTGAGGTCATATTTTGAGGGGGTCTGTCATGACATGACATTGACTCAAGGAAGTCACAGCTCTGGGTTTGCATTAGCAGCTCTCTGCGCCCACTTGTTAATAGGGTTTTTTAGAGGCCTCTCATTCCTAGGATCACCATATGTCAAAGCCAACTTAACAGCATATAACAACAAAACTCAACATTTATCAGTTTTTTTGATTAGATAAGTTATATAAACAAGTTATCTGTTTTGTTCTATTGCTATAACAATTCTAGCATAGAGGACAATAAAATGATATGTGGTGGTTAGGCCTGGTTGATCAAGAAAAAATTTGGTTCTAAAATCGATTTGTAATTGGGGTGTTTTTTTGTTTC